CAATTATTGGTGTTGAAACTCCTCTATCCGCTCTGGCGCTGTCGTCTCGGCGCCGGCTGCATTTCCCTAGAAAGCGAAGCTCACGCTCAAGCTTTTCGGGGCTGCGCCGGAACCAACAACACTCCCGTCCGTATCCATTTTTGTTCAAGCCACTTCGACTCAATACGGACTCCAGGTTAGCTTTGCCGAGCAGCTTCTGGCCTCGGCGGCGGCTCTTGACGGTAGCCATGTCAAAGAAGACCGCTGTTGGCATCGACTTGGGCACCACTTACTCTTGTGTCGGAGTGTGGAAGAACGACGGCGTCGAGATCATCGCCAACGATCAGGGCAATCGCACCACGCCATCCTACGTTGCTTTCACCGACACCGAGCGCCTGATCGGTGACGCGGCCAAGAACCAGGTGGCCCGCAACCCAGAAAACACCGTCTTCGATGCGAAACGATTGATCGGTCGCAAGTTCGCAGACCCCATCGTGCAGGCCGACATCAAGTTATGGCCGTTCAAGGTCGAGGCAGGACAGGGCGACAAGCCGATGATCGTCGTGACGTCACAGGGCGAGGAGAAAAAGTTTCACCCTGAGGAGGTCTCTTCGATGATTCTGCTCAAGATGAAGGAGACTGCCGAGGCTTACCTGGGGGCCAAGTGTAACGATGCTGTTGTGACTGTTCCAGCCTACTTCAATGACTCCCAGCGCCAGGCCACCAAGGATGCAGGGACGATCTCCGGCATGAACGTTCTTCGAATTATCAACGAGCCCACCGCGGCGGCGATCGCGTACGGCCTGGACAAGAAGGGCAGCGGCGAGAAGAACATCCTCATCTACGACATGGGCGGGGGCACCTTCGACGTCTCTCTGCTGACAATCGAGGACGGCATCTTCGAGGTGAAGGCCACCGCTGGGGACACACATCTGGGGGGCGAGGACTTCGACAACCGCATCGTGGACTTCTGCATGCAAGACTTCAAGCGCAAGAATAGAGGCAAGGACCTCGCGGGCAACCAGCGCGCCATTCGTCGCCTGCGGACACAGTGCGAGCGCGCCAAGAGGACCCTTTCCTCTTCCACGCAGGCCACGATCGAGATTGACTCGCTCTTCGATGGTATCGACTTCTCCTGCTCGCTGTCGCGCGCCCGGTTTGAGGAGCTGAACATGGACTATTTCCGCAATTCTATGGGCCCCGTCGAGAAGTGCCTGCGCGACAGCGGCATCGACAAGCGGAACGTGCACGAGGTCGTTTTGGTTGGTGGATCTACGCGCATTCCGAAGGTGCAGGCCATGATCCAGGAGTTCTTCAACGGCAAGGAGCCTAACAAGTCTATCAACCCGGACGAGGCCGTGGCCTTTGGCGCCGCGGTGCAGGCGGCCATCCTCACCGGCGAGGGGTCCTCGCAGGTCCAGGATCTGCTGCTGCTCGACGTGACGCCCCTGTCGATGGGCCTGGAGACTGCTGGCGGAGTGATGACCAAGCTGATCGAGCGGAACACCACGATTCCTACCAAGAAGGGGCAGACCTTCACCACCTATGCCGACAACCAGCCAGGAGTGCTGATCCAGGTGTTCGAGGGGGAGCGCGCAATGACCAAGGACAACAATCTGTTGGGGAAGTTCCACCTCGACGGCATCCCGCCTGCCCCGCGGGGCGTGCCGCAGATCGAGGTGACGTTCGACATCGACGCGAACGGCATCCTCAACGTGTCCGCACAGGACAAGTCCACGGGTAAGTCCAACCAGATCACCATCACCAACGAGAAGGGGCGGCTGTCCCAGGCGGAGATCGACCGGATGGTGCAGGAGGCGGAGAAGTATCGCGCCGAGGACGAGAGCAATAAGGCAAAGATCGAGGCGAAGAACGGCCTGGAGAACTACTGCTTCACCATGCGGAACACCCTGCAGGAGGAGAAGCTCAAAGAGAAGTTCGAGGATGGAGACAAGGAGAAGATCGAGAAGGCGGTGCAGGATGCCCTTGACTGGCTGGACAAGAACCAGCTGGCCGAGAAGGATGAGTTTGAGGCCAAGCAGAAGGAGCTGGAGGGCATCGTCAACCCCATCATGATGAAGGTGTACCAGGCCGCCGGCGGTGGTGGAATGCCGGAGGGCGGCATGCCGGGCGGCGGGGCTGCCCCCGGCGGCGGCGCGGGGCCCACTGTGGAGGAGGTGGACTAAGCCTGGGGCGTTGACCGCCGCCGAAGCTTGTAATTCGTAATGCCCACACGGTTCTCCGAGCAGCCTGGCAGGCTGGGGTGCGCCATGCACCTTCTTGGCCCTGCCCGGCGAGTTCGGCTGAAGAGACGAGCTGCTTTTACCTTGCCTCGGTCACAGATGTTGGCCGGTCCCCAGCTGCCAGTCGGCCTCCCGACTGGCCATCGGGGTTTTGCGCGTGCGCGCGGAGCCGCAGGCCACAGACTCATAGACTGCGCTGCAGCAGGAGTGCTGCCAAGGCGAGCAAAACAACAAAATATCAACAACAATCATTTTACCAGAATGCTCAATGATTCGACCTGAGACGCCTACATTGAATCACCGCTGCCCCCCGCCTTTTGAAAACGCCCATGCGGCCAAACGTTGGTTCAAAATCTGGCCATGAGGCCAAGCTATTGGACTATGTGTTCCCCCAGCCGTTGTAGAACCCCTTGGGGGAACACTGGGGAGAGGAAAAGAAAGGAGGAGGAAAGGGAGGAGAAGGAGGAGGAGGAGGAGGAGGAGGAGGAGGAGGAGGAGGAGGAGGAGGAGGAGGAAGAGGAGGCCTCTTGAGGCAATTTTGAGGCCTCCTGGGGGCTTCCTAGAAGCCTTTTGAGGGGCTCTAAGGGGCCTGTTGGGTGACGATTAAGGAGACGATTAACAAACCAGTTTGCTCATCCCACTGCTATGTAAACAGGAGACAGCAACCGAAGACGAACCCCTTGGGCGGGTCGATGCCTGCCTCATGAGCCTCGGTATGTTTGGGGTTCGTCAGGCCACTCAGCCTTCGTATTCCTTGACGGGACCTCCCACCTCTGAATTTTGTTCAGGGCCTCTTTGCCAGCTGGGGTGGGTGATGCTCACATGCAGCAGCAAGGCCAGCTCCGAGTCGGCCACCTCCAGTTGGGGTCTTACTGCCAAGGCACCCCCACACCTACAACGTAAATTCGGACCATACATCGTCGCGGGATTGTGTTGCACATGTACTACCTCCCCCTGGACTTCAAACTGATGGGGCAGTGCGACTGGCTTCCACTGGGACTCGACTCGATGGAACTTCCCTGGTTGAGCCAGTCCCAAACCGAACACTTTCCATGCCAAATTTGGCAGTGCAGTCAGACCCACGAACCTTTTACTTTAGTTAAGCTGTATCCATAAGACTTCTCGAGCAGCTTCCCCTTACGCCATGGCTTACTGGCACAATGATTGTCACTCTCCTCCAGGGCAGCCAACGAATTGATTCTAGCTAGCTTGCGCTGTGCCAGCCAGGCCTTGAACTCAGCCTCTGCTAAGGACCGTAGTTCAGGTTCGTTGGGGCTAAGGTTTAGCTCAGCACCTGTATGAGCGAATGTGTCTGCTAAATCATTGCCCCTCGAGAGGTGGATAGCCTGTTTGCCAGCCAGCAGAGCATGGCACTCTAGGTTTTATTCGCAGTTGCTCCCTATCACCCGTCTGCCTACAGCTTCACTCCTTCTTCGAGCCCACCAGAATACCAGATGTCCAGAAGCAACGTTTCGTGCCGACCATCATGCACGACGTGGCAGTCTCTGTCGACCCATATTGGGCCCTGGGGGAGCTTCAGGGCTCACCAGAGGGCCGCAAGTTCAGCACGTTAATGCCCCCACACGCACCTGGACTGGTAACATCTGGATCATTTTCCTCGACCTGCTGCACCGACTGGGAAAAGTACACTCCCTAGCCTGCACGCGCTATCCGCGCGTCCGTGCTCGACACCGAGCCGTCCAGAAAGGCCGTCTTGCTGATGATGCGCTGGTGAGGCGGGACGGTGAGGTCGGGCAGCATGTCGGGGCCGTTCCAGTCCAGGTAGTCTGGCCACTGTTGGTCGCCCCAAGGCGGGGGCGGTGGCACGTCACGTACTCGGGAGCATGGCGCGCTCCCACAACTCCAGGTGCACCTCGTTGGCGATATTGTGTGCAGCTTCAGCCCGCAGCTTCTCGCTTTGCCTGATCCAGTGGTGGTCGGTGTCCAGCGTGTGCTTGCATTCCCAGACCGTATGGCCCATGGTCTCAGGCCAGCGTAAGGTACATCTCTTGCAGAGCCTATCACATATATATATATATATATATATTTATACCCTGCTGCTTTGTCCCATTAGGGCCCACCATCCGATATCATTGCTCCTCTCTCTTGTCTCTCCTGCTGAATAGTTTTCGTTCACAATCCTAGTCCCTTCTTTGGCCTCGCCTTCATTTTCGTTTGCTCCTCCCTTCCTCGCGGTCTCACTTTTTCCTGTCTCCCTCCTCTTCCCATTTTCCTGGCCGCGCCAAGCAAGGAAGGTGTATCCCCGAAAGGGGGTACGATCGAAGACGAAGAGGGCGGGTGTCGAGTCACACCTGAGCAACGAAGGGCGAACAGTCTCAAAATGATTGTTGTTGAGTTCCGATTACTAACCAATCATTGGTGTTGAACCTCCTCTATCCGCTCTGGCGCTCTCGTCTCGGCGCCGGCTGCACTTCCTTAGAAGGTGAAGCTCGCGCTCGAGCTTCTCGGAGCTGCGCCAGAACCAACAACACTCCCGTTCGTATCCATTCTTGTTCAAGCCACTTCGACTCAATACGGACTTCAGGTCAGCTTTGTCGAGCAGCTTCTGGCCTCGGCGGCGGCTCTTGACGGTAGCCATGTCAAAGAAGACCGCTGTTGGCATCGACTTGGGCACCACTTACTCTTGCGTCGGAGTGTGGAAGAACGACGGCGTCGAGATCATCGCCAACGATCAGGGCAATCGCACCACGCCGTCCTACGTTGCTTTCACCGACACCGAGCGCCTGATCGGTGACGCGGCCAAGAACCAGGTGGCCCGCAATCCAGAAAACACCGTCTTCGATGCGAAACGATTGATCGGTCGCAAGTTCGCAGATCCCATCGTACAGGCCGACATCAAGTTATGGCCGTTCAAGGTCGAGGCAGGACAGGGCGACAAGCCGATGATCGTCGTGACGTCACAGGGCGAGGAGAAAAAGTTTCACCCTGAGGAGGTCTCTTCGATGATTCTGCTCAAGATGAAGGAGACTGCCGAGGCTTACCTGGGGGCCAAGTGTAACGATGCTGTTGTGACTGTTCCAGCCTACTTCAATGACTCCCAGCGCCAGGCCACCAAGGATGCAGGGACGATCTCCGGCATGAACGTTCTTCGAATTATCAACGAGCCCACCGCGGCGGCGATCGCGTACGGCCTGGACAAGAAGGGCAGCGGCGAGAAGAACATCCTCATCTACGACATGGGTGGGGGCACCTTCGACGTCTCTCTGCTGACAATCGAGGACGGCATCTTCGAGGTGAAGGCCACCGCTGGGGACACACATCTGGGGGGCGAGGACTTCGACAACCGCATCGTGGACTTCTGCATGCAAGACTTCAAGCGCAAGAATAGAGGCAAGGACCTCGCGGGCAACCAGCGCGCCATTCGTCGCCTGCGGACACAGTGCGAGCGCGCCAAGAGGACCCTTTCCTCTTCCACGCAGGCCACGATCGAGATTGACTCGCTCTTCGATGGTATCGACTTCTCCTGCTCGCTGTCGCGCGCCCGGTTTGAGGAGCTGAACATGGACTATTTCCGCAATTCTATGGGCCCCGTCGAGAAGTGCCTGCGCGACAGCGGCATCGACAAGCGGAACGTGCACGAGGTCGTTTTGGTTGGTGGATCTACGCGCATTCCGAAGGTGCAGGCCATGATCCAGGAGTTCTTCAACGGCAAGGAGCCTAACAAGTCTATCAACCCGGACGAGGCCGTGGCCTTTGGCGCCGCGGTGCAGGCGGCCATCCTCACCGGCGAGGGGTCCTCGCAGGTCCAGGATCTGCTGCTGCTCGACGTGACGCCCCTGTCGATGGGCCTGGAGACTGCTGGCGGAGTGATGACCAAGCTGATCGAGCGGAACACCACGATTCCTACCAAGAAGGGGCAGACCTTCACCACCTATGCCGACAACCAGCCGGGAGTGCTTATCCAGGTGTTCGAGGGGGAGCGCGCAATGACCAAGGACAACAATCTGTTGGGGAAGTTCCACCTCGACGGCATCCCGCCTGCCCCGCGGGGCGTGCCGCAGATCGAGGTGACGTTCGACATCGACGCGAACGGCATCCTCAACGTGTCCGCACAGGACAAGTCCACGGGTAAGTCCAACCAGATCACCATCACCAACGAGAAGGGGCGCCTGTCCCAGGCGGAGATCGACCGGATGGTGCAGGAGGCGGAGAAGTATCGCGCCGAGGACGAGAGCAATAAGGCAAAGATCGAGGCGAAGAACGGCCTGGAGAACTATTGCTTCACCATGCGGAACACCCTGCAGGAGGAGAAGCTCAAAGAGAAGTTCGAGGATGGAGACAAGGAGAAGATCGAGAAGGCGGTGCAGGATGCCCTTGACTGGCTGGACAAGAACCAGCTGGCCGAGAAGGATGAGTTTGAGGCCAAGCAGAAGGAGCTGGAGGGCATCGTCAACCCCATCATGATGAAGGTGTACCAGGCTGCCGGCGGTGGTGGAATGCCGGAGGGCGGCATGCCGGGCGGCGGGGCTGCCCCTGGCGGCGGCGCGGGGCCCACTGTGGAGGAGGTGGACTAAGCCCGAGGCGTTGACCGCCGCCGAAGCTTGTAATTCGGAATGCCCACACGGTTCTCCGAGCAGCCTGGCAGGCTGGGGTGCGCCATGCACCTTCTTGGCCCTGCCCGGCGAGTTCGGCTGAATGCTTTTACCTTGCCTCGGTCACAGATGTTGGCCGGTCCCCAGCTGCCAGTCGGCCTCCTGACTGGCCATCGGGGTTTTGCGCGTGCGCGCGGGGCCGCAGGCCACAGACTCATAGACTTCGCTGCAGCACGAGTGCTGCCAAGGCGAGCAAAGCAACAAAATGACAACAACAGTCAGTTTACCATAATCCCCCCTCCCTTTTGGAGACGCTCATGCTGCCATACGCTGGGCCAGAGACTGGCCATGAGGCCAAGCTATTGGACTAAGTGCTCCCCCAGCCGTTGTGGAACCCCTTGGGCGAACACTGGGGAGAGGAAAAGAAAGGAGGAGGAAAGGGAGGAGAAGGAGAAGGAGGAGGAGGAGGAGAAGGAGGAGGAAGAGGAGGCTTCTTGAGACAATTTTGAGGCCTCCTGGGGGCTTCCTAGGAGCCTTTTGGGGGGCTCTAAGGGGCCTGTTGGGTGACGATTAAGGAGACGATTAACAAACCAGTTTGCTCATCTCACTGCTATGCAAACAGGAGACAGCAACCGAAGACGAACCCCTTGGGCGGGTCGCTGCCTGCCTCATGAGCCTCGGTATGTTTGGGGTTCGTCAGGCCACTCAGCCTTCTTATTCCTTGACGGGACCTCCCACCTCTGAATTTTGTTCGGGGCCTCTTTGCCAGCTGGGGTGGGTGATGCTCACATGCAGCAGCAAGGCCAGCTCCGAGTCGGCCACCTCCAGTGGGGGTCTTACTGCCAAGGCACCCACACCTACAACATGAGTTCTGACCATACGTAGTTGCGGGATTATGTGGCACATGTACTACCTCCCCCTGGACCCATATCGGGCCCTGGGGGAGCTTCAGGGCTTACCAGAGGGCCGCACGTTCAGCACATTAATGCCCCCACACGCACCTGGACTGGTAACATCTGGATCATTTTCCTCGACCTGCTGCACCGACTGGGAAACTTACACTCCCTAGCCTGCACGCGCTATCTGCGCGTCCGTGCTCGAGACCGAGCCGTCCAGAAAGGCCATCTTGCTGATGATGCGCTGGTGAGGCGGGACGGTGAGGTCGGGCAGCATGTCGGGGCCGTTCCAGTTCAGGTAGTCCGGCCACTGTTGGTCGCCCCAAGGCGGGGGCAGTGGCACGTCACGTACTCGGGAGCATGGCACGCTCCCACAACTCCAGGTGCACCTCGTTGGCGATATCGTGTGCAGCTTCAGCCCGCAGCTTCTCGCTTTGCCTGATCCAGTGGTGGTCGGTGTCCAGCGTGTGCTTGCATTCCCAGACGGTATGGCCCATGGTCTCAGGCCAGCGTAAGGTACATCTCTTGCAGAGCCATCATCACATATATATATATATATATACATATATATACCCTGCTGCTTTGTCCCATTAGGGCCCACCCTCCGATATTGTTGCTCCTCTCTCTTGTCTCTTCTGCTGCATAATAGTCGTTCACAATCCTAGCCCCTTCTTTGGCCTCGCCTGCGTTTTCGTTTCCTCCTCCCTCGCGGTCTCACTTTTTCCTGTCTCCCTCCTCTTCCTATTTACGGGCCGCGCCAAGCAAGGAAGGTGTACCCCCGAAAGGGGGTACGATCGAAGACGAAGAGGGCGGGTGTCGAGTGACACCTGAGCAACGAAGGGCGAACAGTCTTAAAATGATGGATGTTGAATTCTGATTACTAACCAATTATTGGTGTTGAACCTCTATCCGCTCTGGCGCTGTCGTCTCGGCGCCGGCTGCATTTCCTCAGAAAGCGAAGCTCACGCTCGAGCTTTTCGGAGCTGCGCCGGAACCAACAACACTCCCGTCCGTATCCATTTTTGTTCAAGCCACTTCGACTCAATACGGACTCCAGGTTAGCTTTGCCGAGCAGCTTCTGGCCTCGGCGGCGGCTCTTGACGGTAGCCATGTCAAAGAAGACCGCTGTTGGCATCGACTTGGGCACCACTTACTCTTGTGTCGGAGTGTGGAAGAACGACGGCGTCGAGATCATCGCCAACGATCAGGGCAATCGCACCACGCCATCCTACGTTGCTTTCACCGACACCGAGCGCCTGATCGGTGACGCGGCCAAGAACCAGGTGGCCCGCAACCCAGAAAACACCGTCTTCGATGCGAAACGATTGATCGGTCGCAAGTTCGCAGACCCCATCGTGCAGGCCGACATCAAGTTATGGCCGTTCAAGGTCGAGGCAGGACAGGGCGACAAGCCGATGATCGTCGTGACGTCACAGGGCGAGGAGAAAAAGTTTCACCCTGAGGAGGTCTCTTCGATGATTCTGCTCAAGATGAAGGAGACTGCCGAGGCTTACCTGGGGGCCAAGTGTAACGATGCTGTTGTGACTGTTTCCAGCCTACTTCAATGACTCCAGCGCCAGGCCACCAAGGATGCAGGACGATCTCCGGCATGAACGTTCTTCGAATTATCAACGAGCCCACCGCGGCGCGATCGCGTACGGCCTGGACAAGAAGGGCAGCGGCGAGAAGAACATCCTCATCTACGACATGGGCGGGGGCACCTTCGACGTCTCTCTGCTGACAATCGAGGACGGCATCTTCGAGGTGAAGGCCACCGCTGGGGACACACATCTGGGGGGCGAGGACTTCGACAACCGCATCGTGGACTTCTGCATGCAAGACTTCAAGCGCAAGAATAGAGGCAAGGACCTCGCGGGCAACCAGCGCGCCATTCGTCGCCTGCGGACACAGTGCGAGCGCGCCAAGAGGACCCTTTCCTCTTCCACGCAGGCCACGATCGAGATTGACTCGCTCTTCGATGGTATCGACTTCTCCTGCTCGCTGTCGCGCGCCCGGTTTGAGGAGCTGAACATGGACTATTTCCGCAATTCTATGGGCCCCGTCGAGAAGTGCCTGCGCGACAGCGGCATCGACAAGCGGAACGTGCACGAGGTCGTTTTGGTTGGTGGATCTACGCGCATTCCGAAGGTGCAGGCCATGATCCAGGAGTTCTTCAACGGCAAGGAGCCTAACAAGTCTATCAACCCGGACGAGGCCGTGGCCTTTGGCGCCGCGGTGCAGGCGGCCATCCTCACCGGCGAGGGGTCCTCGCAGGTCCAGGATCTGCTGCTGCTCGACGTGACGCCCCTGTCGATGGGCCTGGAGACTGCTGGCGGAGTGATGACCAAGCTGATCGAGCGGAACACCACGATTCCTACCAAGAAGGGGCAGACCTTCACCACCTATGCCGACAACCAGCCGGGAGTGCTTATCCAGGTGTTCGAGGGGGAGCGCGCAATGACCAAGGACAACAATCTGTTGGGGAAGTTCCACCTCGACGGCATCCCGCCTGCCCCGCGGGGCGTGCCGCAGATCGAGGTGACGTTCGACATCGACGCGAACGGCATCCTCAACGTGTCCGCACAGGACAAGTCCACGGGTAAGTCCAACCAGATCACCATCACCAACGAGAAGGGGCGCCTGTCCCAGGCGGAGATCGACCGGATGGTGCAGGAGGCGGAGAAGTATCGCGCCGAGGACGAGAGCAATAAGGCAAAGATCGAGGCGAAGAACGGCCTCGAGAACTACTGCTTCACCATGCGGAACACCCTGCAGGAGGAGAAGCTCAAAGAGAAGTTCGAGGATGGAGACAAGGAGAAGATCGAGAAGGCGGTGCAGGATGCCCTTGACTGGCTGGACAAGAACCAGCTGGCCGAGAAGGATGAGTTTGAGGCCAAGCAGAAGGAGCTGGAGGGCATCGTCAACCCCATCATGATGAAGGTGTACCAGGCCGCCGGCGGTGGTGGAATGCCGGAGGGCGGCATGCCGGGCGGCGGGGCTGCCCCCGGCGGCGGCGCGGGGCCCACTGTGGAGGAGGTGGACTAAGCCCGAGGCGTTGACCGCCGCCGAAGCCTTGTAATTCGGAATGCCCACACGGTTCTCCGAGCAGCCTGGCAGGCTGGGGTGCGCCATGCACCTTCTTGGCCCTGCCCGGCGAGTTCGGCTGAATGCTTTTACCTTGCCTCGGTCACAGATGTTGGCCGGTCCCCAGCTGCCAGTCGGCCTCCTGACTGGCCATCGGGGTTTTGCGCGTGCGCGCGGGGCCGCAGGCCACAGACTCATAGACTTCGCTGCAGCACGAGTGCTGCCAAGGCGAGCAAAGCAACAAAATGACAACAACAGTCAGTTTACCATAATCCCCCCTCCCTTTTGGAGACGCTCATGCTGCCATACGCTGGGCCAGAAGACTGGCCATGAGGCCAAGCTATTGGACTAAGTGCTCCCCCAGCCGTTGTGGAACCCCTTGGGCGAACACTGGGGAGAGGAAAAGAAAGGAGGAGGAAAGGGAGGAGAAGGAGAAGGAGGAGGAGGAGGAGAAGGAGGAGGAAGAGGAGGCTTCTTGAGACAATTTTGAGGCCTCCTGGGGGCTTCCTAGGAGCCTTTTGGGGGGCTCTAAGGGGCCTGTTGGGTGACGATTAAGGAGACGATTAACAAACCAGTTTGCTCATCTCACTGCTATGCAAACAGGAGACAGCAACCGAAGACGAACCCCTTGGGCGGGTCGCTGCCTGCCTCATGAGCCTCGGTATGTTTGGGGTTCGTCAGGCCACTCAGCCTTCTTATTCCTTGACGGGACCTCCCACCTCTGAATTTTGTTCGGGGCCTCTTTGCCAGCTGGGGTGGGTGATGCTCACATGCAGCAGCAAGGCCAGCTCCGAGTCGGCCACCTCCAGTGGGGGTCTTACTGCCAAGGCACCCACACCTACAACATGAGTTCTGACCATACGTAGTTGCGGGATTATGTGGCACATGTACTACCTCCCCCTGGACCCATATCGGGCCCTGGGGGAGCTTCAGGGCTCACCAGAGGGCCGCAAGTTCAGCACATTAATGCCCCCACACGCACCTGGACTGGTAACATCTGGATCATTTTCCTCGACCTGCTGCACCGACTGGGAAACTTACACTCCCTAGCCTGCACGCGCTATCTGCGCGTCCGTGCTCGAGACCGAGCCGTCCAGAAAGGCCATCTTGCTGATGATGCGCTGGTGAGGCGGGACGGTGAGGTCGGGCAGCATGTCGGGGCCGTTCCAGTTCAGGTAGTCCGGCCACTGTTGGTCGCCCCAAGGCGGGGGCAGTGGCACGTCACGTACTCGGGAGCATGGCACGCTCCCACAACTCCAGGTGCACCTCGTTGGCGATATCGTGTGCAGCTTCAGCCCGCAGCTTCTCGCTTTGCCTGATCCAGTGGTGGTCGGTGTCCAGCGTGTGCTTGCATTCCCAGACGGTATGGCCCATGGTCTCAGGCCAGCGTAAGGTACATCTCTTGCAGAGCCCATCACACATATATATATATATATATATATATACCCTGCTGCTTTGTCCCATTAGGGCCCACCCTCCGATATTGTTGCTCCTCTCTCTTGTCTCTTCTGCTGCATAATAGTCGTTCACAATCCTAGCCCCTTCTTTGGCCTCGCCTGCGTTTTCGTTTCCTCCTCCCTCGCGGTCTCACTTTTTCCTGTCTCCCTCCTCTTCCTATTTTACGGGCCGCGCCAAGCAAGGAAGGTGTACCCCCGAAAGGGGGTACGATCGAAGACGAAGAGGGCGGGTGTCGAGTGACACCTGAGCAACGAAGGGCGAACAGTCTTAAAATGATGGATGTTGAATTCTGATTACTAACCAATTATTGGTGTTGAACCTCCTCTATCCGCTCTGGCGCTGTCGTCTCGGCGCCGGCTGCATTTCCCTAGAAAGCGAAGCTCACGCTCGAGCTTTTCGGAGCCGCCGAACCAACAACACTCCCGTCCGTATCCATTTTTGTTCAAGCCACTTCGACTTACGGGCACAGCACTTACTCATTTGTGTCGGAGTGTGGAAGAACGACGGCGTCGAGATCATCGCCAACGATCAGGGCAATCGCACCACGCCATCCTACGTTGCTTTCACCGACACCGAGCGCCTGATCGGTGACGCGGCCAAGAACCAGGTGGCCCGCAACCCAGAAAACACCGTCTTCGATGCGAAACGATTGATCGGTCGCAAGTTCGCAGACCCCATCGTGCAGGCCGACATCAAGTTATGGCCGTTCAAGGTCGAGGCAGGACAGGGCGACAAGCCGATGATCGTCGTGACGTCACAGGGCGAGGAGAAAAAGTTTCACCCTGAGGAGGTCTCTTCGATGATTCTGCTCAAGATGAAGGAGACTGCCGAGGCTTACCTGGGGGCCAAGTGTAACGATGCTGTTGTGACTGTTCCAGCCTACTTCAATGACTCCCAGCGCCAGGCCACCAAGGATGCAGGGACGATCTCCGGCATGAACGTTCTTCGAATTATCAACGAGCCCACCGCGGCGGCGATCGCGTACGGCCTGGACAAGAAGGGCAGCGGCGAGAAGAACATCCTCATCTACGACATGGGCGGGGGCACCTTCGACGTCTCTCTGCTGACAATCGAGGACGGCATCTTCGAGGTGAAGGCCACCGCTGGGGACACACATCTGGGGGGCGAGGACTTCGACAACCGCATCGTGGACTTCTGCATGCAAGACTTCAAGCGCAAGAATAGAGGCAAGGACCTCGCGGGCAACCAGCGCGCCATTCGTCGCCTGCGGACACAGTGCGAGCGCGCCAAGAGGACCCTTTCCTCTTCCACGCAGGCCACGATCGAGATTGACTCGCTCTTCGATGGTATCGACTTCTCCTGCTCGCTGTCGCGCGCCCGGTTTGAGGAGCTGAACATGGACTATTTCCGCAATTCTATGGGCCCCGTCGAGAAGTGCCTGCGCGACAGCGGCATCGACAAGCGGAACGTGCACGAGGTCGTTTTGGTTGGTGGATCTACGCGCATTCCGAAGGTGCAGGCCATGATCCAGGAGTTCTTCAACGGCAAGGAGCCTAACAAGTCTATCAACCCGGACGAGGCCGTGGCCTTTGGCGCCGCGGTGCAGGCGGCCATCCTCACCGGCGAGGGGTCCTCGCAGGTCCAGGATCTGCTGCTGCTCGACGTGACGCCCCTGTCGATGGGCCTGGAGACTGCTGGCGGAGTGATGACCAAGCTGATCGAGCGGAACACCACGATTCCTACCAAGAAGGGGCAGACCTTCACCACCTATGCCGACAACCAGCCGGGAGTGCTTATCCAGGTGTTCGAGGGGGAGCGCGCAATGACCAAGGACAACAATCTGTTGGGGAAGTTCCACCTCGACGGCATCCCGCCTGCCCCGCGGGGCGTGCCGCAGATCGAGGTGACGTTCGACATCGACGCGAACGGCATCCTCAACGTGTCCGCACAGGACAAGTCCACGGGTAAGTCCAACCAGATCACCATCACCAACGAGAAGGGGCGCCTGTCCCAGGCGGAGATCGACCGGATGGTGCAGGAGGCGGAGAAGTATCGCGCCGAGGACGAGAGCAATAAGGCAAAGATCGAGGCGAAGAACGGCCTGGAGAACTACTGCTTCACCATGCGGAACACCCTGCAGGAGGAGAAGCTCAAAGAGAAGTTCGAGGATGGAGACAAGGAGAAGATCGAGAAGGCGGTGCAGGATGCCCTTGACTGGCTGGACAAGAACCAGCTGGCCGAGAAGGATGAGTTTGAGGCCAAGCAGAAGGAGCTGGAGGGCATCGTCAACCCCATCATGATGAAGGTGTACCAGGCCGCCGGCGGTGGTGGAATGCCGGAGGGCGGCATGCCGGGCGGCGGGGCTGCCCCCGGCGGCGGCGCGGGGCCCACTGTGGAGGAGGTAGACTAAGCCCGGGGCGTTGACCGCCGCCGAAGCTTGTAATTCGGAATGCCCACACGGTTCTCCGAGCAGCCTGGCAGGCTGGGGTGCGCCATGCACCTTCTTGGCCCTGCCCGGCGAGTTCGGCTGAAGAGACGAGGTGCTTCTACCTTGCCTCGGTCACAGATGTTGGCCGGTCCCCAGCTGCCAGTCGGCCTCCCGACTGGCCATCGGGGTTTTGCGCGTGCGCGCGGAGCCGCAGGCCACAGACTCATAGACTTCGCTGCAGCACGAGTACTGCCAAGGCGAGCAAATCAACAAAATGACAACAACAGTCAGTTTACCATAATCCCTCCTCCCTTTTGGAAAGGCTCATGCTGCCATACGCTGGGCCAGAGTCTGGCCATGAGGCCAAGCTATTGGACTAAGTGCTCCCCCAGCCGTTGTGGAACCCCTTGGGCGAACACTGGGGAGAGGGAAAGAAAGGAGGAGGAAAGGGAGGAGGAGGAGGAGGAGGAGGAGGAGGAGGAGGAGGAGGAGGAGGAGGAGGCCTCTTGAGACAATTTTGAGGCCTCCTGGGGGCTTCCTAGGAGCCTGTTGGGGGGCTCGAAGGGGCCTGTTGGGTGACGATTAAGGAGACGATTCACAAACCAGTTTGCTCATCTCACTGCTATGTAAACAGGAAACAGCAACCGAAGACGAACCCCTTGTGCCGGTCGTTGCCTGCCTCCTGAGCCTCGGTATGTTTGGGGTTCGTCAGGCCACTCAGCCTTCTTATTCCTTGACGGGACCTCCCACCTCTGAATTTTGTTCGGGGCCTCTTTGCCAGCTGGGGTGGGTGATGCTCACATGCAGCAGCAAGGCCAGCTCCGAGTCGGCCACCTCCAGTGGGGGTCTTACTGCCAAGGCACCCACACCTACAACATGAGTTCTGACCATACATAGTTGCGGGATTATGTGGCACATGTACTACCTCCCCCTGGACCCATATCGGGCCCTGGGGGAGCTTCAGGGCTCACCAGAGGGCCGCAAGTTCAGCACATTAATGCCCCCACACGCACCTGGACTGGTAACATCTGGATCATTTTCCTCGACCTGCTGCACCGACTGGGAAACTCACACTCCCTAGCCTGCACGCGCTATCTGCGCGTCCGTGCTCGAGACCGAGCCGTCCAGAAAGGCCATCTTGCTGATGATGCGCTGGTGAGGCGGGACGGTGAGGTCGGGCAGCATGTCGGGGCCGTTCCAGTTCAGGTAGTCCGGCCACTGTTGGTCGCCCCAAGGCGGGGGCGGTGGCACGTCACGTACTCGGGAGCATGGCACGCTCCCACAACTCCAGGTGCACCTCGTTGGCGATATCGTGTGCAGCTTCAGCCCGCAGCTTCTCGCTTTGCCTGATCCAGTGGTGGTCGGTGTCCAGCGTGTGCTTGCATTCCCAGACGGTATGGCCCATGGTCTCAGGCCAGCGTAAGGTACATCTCTTGCAGAGCCTATCACATATATATATATATATATATATATACCCTGCTGCTTTGTCCCATTAGGGCCCACCCTCCGATATTGTTGCTCCTCTCTCTTGTCTCTTCTGCTGCATAATAGTCGTTCACAATCCTAGCCCCTTCTTTGGCCTCGCCTGCGTTTTCGTTTCCTCCTCCCTCGCGGTCTCACTTTTTCCTGTCTCCCTCCTCTTCCTATTTTACGGGCCGCGCCAAGCAAGGAAGGTGTACCCCCGAAAGGGGGTACGATCGAAGACGAAGAGGGCGGGTGTCGAGTGACACCTGAGCAAAGAAGGGCGAACAGTCTTAAAATGATGGATGTTGAATTCTGATTTCTAACCAATTATTGGTGTTGAACCTCCTCTATCCGCTCTGGCGCTGTCGTCTCGGCGCCGGCTGCATTTCCCTAGAACGCGAAGCTCACGCTCGAGCTTTTCGGAGCTGCGCGGGAACCAACAACACTCCCGTCCGTATCCATTTTTGCTCAAGCCACTTCGACTCAATACGGACTCCAGGTTAGCTTTGCCGAGCAGCTTCTGGCCTCGGCGGCGGCTCTTGACGGTAGCCATGTCAAAGAAGACCGCTGTTGGCATCGACTTGGGCACCACTTACTCTTGTGTCGGAGTGTGGAAGAACGACGGCGTCGAGATCATCGCCAACGATCAGGGCAATCGCACCACGCCATCCTACGTTGCTTTCACCGACACCGAGCGCCTGATCGGTGACGCGGCCAAGAACCAGGTGGCCCGCAACCCAGAAAACACCGTCTTCGATGCGAAACGATTGATCGGTCGCAAGTTCGCAGACCCCATCGTGCAGGCCGACATCAAGTTATGGCCGTTCAAGGTCGAGGCAGGACAGGGCGACAAGCCGATGATCGTCGTGACGTCACAGGGCGAGGAGAAAAAGTTTCACCCTGAGGAGGTCTCTTCGATGATTCTGCTCAAGATGAAGGAGACTGCCGAGGCTTACCTGGGGGCCAAGTGTAACGATGCTGTTGTGACTGTTCCAGCCTACTTCAATGACTCCCAGCGCCAGGCCACCAAGGATGCAGGGACGATCTCCGGCATGAACGTTCTTCGAATTATCAACGAGCCCACCGCGGCGGCGATCGCTTACGGCCTGGACAAGAAGGGCAGCGGCGAGAAGAACATCCTCATCTACGACATGGGCGGGGGCACCTTCGACGTCTCTCTGCTGACAATCGAGGACGGCATCTTCGAGGTGAAGGCCACCGCTGGGGACACACATCTGGGGGGCGAGGACTTCGACAACCGCATCGTGGACTTCTGCATGCAAGACTTCAAGCGCAAGAATAGAGGCAAGGACCTCGCGGGCAACCAGCGCGCCATTCGTCGCCTGCGGACACAGTGCGAGCGCGCCAAGAGGACCCTTTCCTCTTCCACGCAGGCCACGATCGAGATTGACTCGCTCTTCGATGGTATCGACTTCTCCTGCTCGCTGTCGCGCGCCCGGTTTGAGGAGCTGAACATGGACTATTTCCGCAATTCTATGGGCCCCGTCGAGAAGTGCCTGCGCGACAGCGGCATCGACAAGCGGAACGTGCACGAGGTCGTTTTGGTTGGTGGATCTACGCGCATTCCGAAGGTGCAGGCCATGATCCAGGAGTTCTTCAACGGCAAGGAGCCTAACAAGTCTATCAACCCGGACGAGGCCGTGGCCTTTGGCGCCGCGGTGCAGGCGGCCATCCTCACCGGCGAGGGGTCCTCGCAGGTCCAGGATCTGCTGCTGCTCGACGTGACGCCCCTGTCGATGGGCCTGGAGACTGCTGGCGGAGTGATGACCAAGCTGATCGAGCGGAACACCACGATTCCTACCAAGAAGGGGCAGACCTTCACCACCTATGCCGATGCCCAAGCGCAATGATCTGTTGGGGAAGTTCCACCTCGACCACGAGACGTTCGAGGCGAACGGCATCCTCAACGTGTCCGCACAGGACAAGTCCACGGGTAAGTCCAACCAGATCACCATCACCAACGAGAAGGGGCGGTCCCAGGCGGAGATCGACCGGATGGTGCAGGAGGCGGAGAAGTATCGCGCCGAGGACGAGAGCAATAAGGCAAAGATCGAGGCGAAGAACGGCCTGGAGAACTACTGCTTCACCATGCGGAACACCCTGCAGGAGGAGAAGCTCAAAGAGAAGTTCGAGGATGGAGACAAGGAGAAGATCGAGAAGGCGGTGCAGGATGCCCTTGACTGGCTGGACAAGAACCAGCTGGCCGAGAAGGATGAGTTTGAGGCCAAGCAGAAGGAGCTGGAGGGCATCGTCAACCCCATCATGATGAAGGTGTACCAGGCCGCCGGCGGTGGTGGAATGCCGGAGGGCGGCATGCCGGGCGGCGGGGCTGCCCCCGGCGGCGGCGCGGGGCCCACTGTGGAGGAGGTGGACTAAGCCCGGGGCGTTGACCGCCGCCGAAGCTTGTAATTCGGAATGCCCACACGGTTCTCCGAGCAGCCTGGCAGGCTGGGGTGCGCCATGCACCTTCTTGGCCCTGCCCGGTGAGTTCGGCTGAAGAGACGAGCTGCTTTTACCTTGCCTCGGTCACAGATGTTGGCCGGTCCCCAGCTGCCAGTCGGCCTCCCGACTGGCCATCGGGGTTTTGCGCGTGCGCGCGGAGCCGCAGGCCACAGACTCATAGACTGCGCTGCAGCAGGAGTGCTGCCAAGGCGAGCAAAACATCAAAATATCAACAGTTATCATTTTACCAGAATGCTCAATGATTCGACCTGAGACGCCTACTTTGAATCACCGCTGCCCCCCGCCTTTTGAAAACGCCCATGCGGCCAAACGTTGGTTCAAAATCTGGCCATGAGGCCAAGCTATTGGACTATGTGTTCCCCCAGCCGTTGTAGAACCCCTTGGGGGAACACTGGGGAGAGGAAAAGAAAGGAGGAGGAGGAGGAGGAGGAGGAAGAGGAGGAGGAGTAGGAGGAGGAGGAGGACGAGGAGGAGGAGGAGAAGGAGGAGGAGGAGTAGGAGGAGGAAAAGGATGAGGAGGAGGAGGAGAAGGAGGAGGAGAAGGGGGAAAGGGAAGAAAGGGAGGAGAAGGCGACCCAGAGGTTTTCTAAGTGGCTAGCGGGTTGGGCTGAGACCCCACTGGGAGTTCTGTAGAAAAGAATGAGACCCACTACAGAGATTTGGCACGCCGTGCACCTCTGTGGTGAATCACCAGGGGGCGGCGGATCGAAGACGCCTACGGCGACTCACCGCCGCCCCCTGCCTTGTAGGATACGCCTATGTGGCCAAACGTTCAGGGCAAGTTTGGCCACGCTATGGGACTATGCGCTCCCCCAGCCGTCGTGGAAGCCCTTCGGGGAACACGTGGGAATGGAAAAGGAGGATGAGGAGAGGTAGGAACAATAATGATGAGGAGAAGGATGAGGAGACTTCTTCGGAGCTTCTTGTGTCACTCTTGGGGCCTCCTGGGAGCTTCCTGGGGACCTCTTGGAGGCCTCTTGGGAGCCTTTGGGGGCTTCTTGGGGGCCTTGGCCCGTCTTAGGGCGTTTCTGGACCGTCTGACGCCGTCGGGAGCCTTCTCGGGGGCCTCTCTGGACCGTCTTGGGGGGCCCAATGCCATCTTGCGCGTCTTGGAGGCTTCTTGGGCCGTCTTGGGGGCCTCTTGGGCCGTCTTGGGGGCCTCTTGGGCTGCTAGGCGGGCCATCTTGGAGGCCTCTTGAGCGATCTTGGGGGGCTCTTGGGCCTTCTGGGGCCGTCGGAAGGCCGAAAAGAAGCAACTTCCAAGATTCTTTAAACAATTGAGGAAAGTCAATGGTCTTCACCTCTTCGGGCTTCCCTGGAGGACCTCTTGGAGACCTTTGGGCCGTCTTGCAGGCCTCTTGGATGCTTCTGGGGCCGTCTTGGGCTCTCTTGGGCCATCTGAGCTGTCTTGGAGGCACCTTCGGACCATCCTGGAAGCCATCTTGGGCCTCTCTTGAGCTCTCTTGGGGCCACCCTGCCCGTCGGGGAGGCCCTATTGGCGGTCCTGGAGGCCATCTTGAGCGGAAACGCCGACGGCAGATGCCGCCGGGCAAGCTCTCTGGGTGGCCGACGCCCTGTGCCGAAGCCTCAGGGGGAGTATAACAAAAAACAGAAAAAAAAACGTACACCTTAGGCGATGCTTAAGAAAATCCAAGTTTTCGGCCAGAGTCTCGATTATTCTTAACGTTTCAATGTAAATCCTAAGATTGTAATGAAAATGTTGGGTTTTTATTCAAGTTCTGAGACTATGAATTTCTTAACCCATGATTTCTTAAGCATTTCGCAGGGTGTAAAAAGAACCGGAGAAAAAACCTAATACCACCTGACATTTGGCACGCCGGGCATCCCTGTGGCAAGACCGCAGGGGTCGGTGGATCGAAGACGCCTGCGGCGAATCACCGCCGCCCCCCGCCCTCTAGAATCGCCCATGTGGCCGAGCGTTGCGGCAAACTCTCTGCCAAGGTATCGGGCCATGTGTTCCCCCAACCGTTGTGGAAACCCTTCGGGGAACACTGGGGGGCGGATGGCGGGGAAGATCAAGAGGAGGCGGAGGAGAAGGTGGAGGAGGAGGAGGAGGAGGAGGAGGAGGAGGAGGAGGAGGAGGAGGAGAAGGAGGCATCTTGGGAGCCTCTGGTGACATTCTTGGGGTCTCCTGGGAGCTTCCTGGGAGCCTCTTGCACCTTTGGGGGCTTCTCGGGGGCCGGGGGCCTCTTTGGCCGTTTTGGTGGGCTCCTGGCCCGTCTGTCGGAAGCCGTCTTGGGGGCCTCTCTGGGCTGACTTGGGCCTTTCTTGGGGTGCTCCAGGGCCGTCTGGGAGGCCATCTTGAGCGTCTTGGAGGCTTCTTGGGCCGTCTTGGGGGCCTCTTGGGGCCGTTTTGGGCCTCTTGGGCGATCTTTGGGGGCACCTGGGTCGTCTCGGGCAGTCGGAACGCCGAAAAACAGCAAATGCCACAATCCTTCAAAAACTGATGGAACATCAATGATTTTGGCTTGTTCGGGCCTTGCTGGAGGCCCTCTTGGAGGCCTCTTGGGTCGTCTTGGGCCATCTCAAGGCCATTTTGACGCCGTCGGAAGCAGTTTTGGGGTCGACTTGGGGCTTTCTTGGGGTGCTCCTGGGCCGTCTGGGAGGCCATCTTAAGCGTCTTGGAGGCTTCTTGGGCCGTCTTGGGGGCCTCTTGGGGCCGTCTTGGGGGCCCCTTGGGCCGTTCTGGGGCCATCTTGTTGGCCTCTTGGGCGATCTTTGGGCGGTCTTTCGGGGCTCTTGGGCCGTCTCGGGCCGTTGGAAGGCCGAAAAGAAGCAACATTCTTCAAAACCCGCAGGAAACTCAGTGTTTTTGGCTTTTTTTCTGGCCTTCCTGGAGGCCCTCTTGGAGGCCTCTTGGGCCGTCATCTTGGTGGGCTCCTGGCCCGTCTGACGCCGTCGGAAGCCGTATTGGAGCCCTCTCTGGGCCGTCTTGGGGCCCTGTTGGGCCGCTTCAGGGCCGCCTTCGAGGCCATCGTGGGCGTCTTGGAGGCCTCTTGGGCCATCTTGGAGGCATCTTGGGGCCATCTTAGGGCCTTTTGGGCTGTCTTCGGGCCATCTTGGAGGCCTCTTGGACGATCTTGGGGCGACCTTGGGGGCCCTTTGGGCCGTCTTGGGCCGACGGAAAGCCCAAAACGCGCAAATGCCAAAATCCCCCCCAAAAACCCAAGGGAAATCAATGATTTTTTGCCTCTTCGGGGCCTCCTGGAGGACCTCTTGGAGGCCTCTTGGGCGCATTGGAGGCCTCTTGGGGGCCTCTTGGCCCATCTTGGAGGCATCTTGGGGCCATCTTGGCCGTCTTGGAGGGCATCTTGGGCCGTCTTGGAGGCATCTTGGAGCCATCTTACCCGTCTTGGAGGCCATCTTGGCCGTCTTAGACGCATCTTGGAGGCCATCTTGGGCCTCTTGGCCGTCTTGGACGCAACAGGGGGAACCACCTGGGCACTTTCGGCAACCTTTCGGGTGGCCGGCGGGACGCGCCGAATCCCCAGGGAGAGTTCTTTAGAAAAAGCCCCCCGAGGTGGCCAAACAGCTCAGGACCCTGTTTCCGAGCCGAATTGTGTCCAGCCGCATGGTGAGAAGATGGAAACCACAAGAAGGGACCTTTTCGAAACACAAGGCGAAGTCGAGGTGGTGCGTCCGGGTCCACGAGGACGAAAACACCACGGATTTGCAGGTGTACGCTCCCACTCTTTGCATGGAGGCTTTGATGCTGTTTTTGACTGTTTCCCTAATGTATGGCATGACTATCTGTATCGGGGACATGAAGAACGCCTTCTGTCAATCAGAACCCCTTGAGAGATCGCGAGGTAGAGTTTTCGTGGAGCCATGCGAGGGAGTCCCGGTTCGTTCGGGCTCCTTGATCGAAGCCTCCGTCCCATCGCGCCACCGTGCCTGGGTTGTAGGTCAGAGGCCTCTGGAACGCCTCTGGGAATCTCTCGGGAGGCCCCTCGGAAGCCTCTCGGGTTCGGTTTTGGATGTCTTCGAGTCCTCTCGGGGGTTTCTTGGGGGCCTCCTGGGGTCTGATTCAGGTGTCTTCGGGGCCTTCTGGAGCTTGTGGGGGCCTCTTGGGAGCCTACTGGCGGTCTCGGGGGCCATCTTGGGGCGGAGGGCTCGACATGTTTATTCATGTTCCCCCTCTGGGGCCTCTCTTGGGCCTCTCTTGGAGCCTTGGGGGCCTCTTGGGCCGTCTTGGGGCCATCTTGGGCCGTCTCGGGGCGATCTTGGGGTATTTTGGGCCGTCTTGGAGCGTCGATACTTAGAAAAGGCGAGGGCACTAAAATCTTAAAAACCCGATGGGACATCCGTGATATTGTCATCTCGAGGCCCTCTTGAGGGGGCCTCCTGGAGCCCTCTTGGGGCGTCTTGGAGTCCTTTTGGGCTGTCTTGGGGTCATCTTGGGCGTCTTGGAGCGCTGTCGGGCTGTCTCTGAATGGCTGTCTTGAATACCTCTTGGGCCCTCTTGGGCTTTTCTTGGAGCCCTCGTCATACAGGCCCTCGGGTCTCTGGAAAAGTCACGCGGAGAAGTTGGCCGGACGCGCTCGGGAGAGATTGATATTTCGGGATCCTTGACCTACATCGAATATTGGAATATTGAATGCTGAGTACAGGGAACTCTAGAAACCTGGGGAACACTCCACTTCGTGCCTCGAGGCACGGTGGCGGATACGAAACATGCATTCGTTCTGAAACAACTCATGTTTCCCCTGCATGTCCTCACAATTCCACATTTCGAGTGCATTAGCGTGCGCTAGTGCGTGGTAATCGATGAGACAGCGCTGAATGTGCGTCGGCTAGCGTCGATTTGGCGCCGATGAGCGTCGACTAGCGTCGATTTGCGTCGGTTAGCGTCGATTCGCAAGAGCCAGCAACACGGCATGGGAGGCTCCCGTGAGTTGCCACATGACGCTCATCATGATAGTACCCCCCTTCATGGGGGACTTATCTATTTCCATACCCAGACCTCCCGCCCGAAAACATTTTGCCAATACCTTTTGCGAGACACTCTACAATCTTCAGTTCAGATATTTTGGGCCTCCTTTGGTTCGTCTTGGCGGCCTCTTGGGCCGTCTTGGTGCTCTCTTGGGCAGTCCGAGGGCATCTTGGGGCGCCCTTGGAAGTTGATTGGCGCCTCTTCGGGACCCCTGTAGCGCCTCTGCAGGGGCCGTTTTGGGGCCTTGT